AGGAGGGGAAGGGGGAACAGTAGGGAAGGTCAGGTTAGGGAAGGCTGGGTTAAGGAGAGTTGGGTTAGGAAAGGTTGGGTTAAAGAGGATTGGGTTAGGAAAGGTTAGGATAGGGAAGATTGGTTTAGAAAAGTTTGGTTAGGAGGGATGGATTAAGGAGTGTTAGATTAGGGAGGCTCCATTAGGAAAAGTTGGGTTAAAGAAGGTTAAGTCCAGGAAGGTTGGGTTAGGGACTTTCAGGTTAGGGAAGGTTAGATTAGGAAAGATTGGATTAGGGAGGGGGAGACAAAGGAAAGGAAGGGAAGGAATGGGAAGGGAAGGGAAGAAGAGTGGGAAGGAAAGGAAAAACAGCACTTATAAATATTCAGATGAAACAAAGCTTCCGCATGATGTGGTCTATGCAAAGCTTGCTCTAAAATGTAGCAAGATTTTAAGCAAGGCACTGAATATAATGAAAGAGAGTCTTTAGCTCTTGAGGAGAAAAATATTCCTCTTGGATGTCCGGTGTGTGTGCCGTGGACTAGAAGGATATGAAATGAGCCCCGGAAGCCTGCTTGTCCTGTGAGCTGTAGACCTTTGAGTCTTACTCAAATCAGTGCTGTTAGAGGCTTTCAGTTGCTAGAACTACCCCATGGATCTGGAGGGTTAGTGAGGTCTGAGGACACAATGAAGCCAAGAGAATGAACAGTCAAAGAAAAAAGTGTGCAAAGCTAGGAAGCCAGAGAGAAAGGGAGGGTTGGGGGAAGCTCTGGGTTGAGGGTGCAGATGTGGTCATAGGAAGCTAGGAAATCATTCCAAAAATGAGGGAAAAAGAAGATTTTGGTTAGGGCTGCAAAAGTTACCAAAAGAAGAAGTAGAAATTATACTTTTTGCCCAACTTGTAGAGGCACAGGAGGTAGATGCACTGAGAAGAAAGTCAACAGGTCCAGTGTAAAATTAACAAATCACAAACACAAGTAAACTCATAGAGTTATCAAGGTGTGTGGACTATGATGGAAAGTGGTAAAAGAGGTAGACATTGCTTCTGGGGAACAGGATTATAGTGGCAGAGAGATGACAGAAAATGACTCCTATCCAAAGGTGTTATTCATTGGAAATTTAGATTTGTGAGCCCTGCCTTAGATCTAAAAGTCTCAAAACCTTGGAGACAGACATCTATGTTCTTGACGAACCCCTCAGCTGATTTCTGTATCCTCAGCCTGGTCCAGAAGCCATTGTTTTGAGGCCTGGGATAGGTTGGGAGAAACTGTCTCTGTCTTCCCAGTTTTGGTGGGCCCTGGAGAGTTCCTGGACTCTTAGCATTCCCAATGTATTTGTGAGGTGTGGAGTAAGGATGGTATTAGTGTCCAGCAACCTCTGCTGGAGAAGATCATGGGCCTCATTTTCCTGTCTTCTGTGATGCTTCCAACTCAGGAGGAAGTTAACTCATGACTGGGCTTCCTGATAATTTCTACATTTCCTTCTTCCTGATTCAATATGTACTCATCCAGCGGGCTGCTCTGGTTCTCCACATGAGAAGGTGCCTGACTCACCTCCTGACTTTTCAGTGACCCTAGTCTTAGTACTGGGTGTGCTGCTCCCTTTTTGAACTTCATAGATGGGGAGAAGTCTATGATCCCTTCATGTCTCTGTGGCTGCTCAAATGCACTCATGGTTGCTCAGCTGATTTGGAAATGATCTGCATAATCCCCATGACACCAACAGAAGTCTCTTCAATGCGTGGAAAAGAGCACCAATGTGGGGCTCTTCAGTCCAGAGCTCTAAACCAGCAGTGATGCAGCTGACTGATGGATGGGCTCCAGCCCCCCGAAGTTCAAATGCCTTGGTTTTCTGAGACCTGCTCTAGGGTAGGGCCATGATGGCCTGGCCTCTGGAGTCCTCTTATTTCCCACTCTTGCCTTTCACAATGGGTACATGGTAGGTGTGACAACCCCACCATTCACTGCAAGGCCGTTGTGAACTGCGCCTCACTGTTTTCTGTTCACATACACTAGCACCCTTAATCAGTAGGACAAATCTGCAAAGTAGGCATTATTATTAAGACAGGATGTCAAAATGGGGTGCTTCTATCTCAGTTTCTAAAGGTTGAGAACAAAACAGTAGATGTCAAATAGTGGGCCCAGGCCACACACATGTGCAGGGCTCACAAGGGGTGATCAAAAACTGTTCCTCCACCTTAGCCCATCACCCTATCCATCATCACAGCAAGTGCTGGCAAATTGGGGTTTTGAAACTGGCCTTGGGTGAACTTCTCATCACCAGAAAAACACTGAGCTAGCTCTGCCTGAGGTTTGGTCCCAGGGTGGGATGAAGTAGACATGGGAATACTTGTAATGATGTATTAGCCTTATGTAGCTGCTCTAACAAATGACCGCAAATGTATGGGCTGGGAGGAGCTGTCCCTGTGTGGTACAGTGTATTGTCTCACAGTTTTGTAAAGAGAAAACCCAACATGAATTTCCAGTTGGCTGAAACCAAGGTACTTGATGAGTGCATTCATTCTGGTGGCAAAAAGGAGAATCTATGCTCTGGCCTTTGCCAGATTCTAGTTGCTGCCCATTCTGCCTTGGCCCAGTTCCTCTGTCTTCAGGCCAGCAATGTTGGGCCAAGTTCTTCACATGTTGTCCTCTTTCTGGTTCTCTCTTTCCCATCCCCTCTGTATTTTTAATAACTCTTGTTATTACATTGGATCTGCCTAGATAATTCCTGGCAACTTAAAGCCAGCTGATTGGCAACTTTAACCCCACCTGCAACCTTGAGTTCCCTTTGGCGTGGAGCCTTGGTTCTTCACAGGTTCTGGGTATTAGGACAGGTTCACCTTTGGGGACATTGCTTGCCCTATGATGAGTGAGTGCCCTATGCTCCCATCACCTTCCATCTTAAACCTTGGTAAATATTGTTCACTTGCTTAGTAAGTTAACCAAGTTCCCTCTACAGACAGGCTAGGAAAGTAAATTCAGAGAAAGAGTCATATCCACAGTTTACTGTGCATTGACACTCAGGCCTGAACCCCAGCCCCCAGAGATTATGATCCTATAGTTTGGGGTATACATAGCATTTTGTAAAGGTTCCCTGGCAAGCCCAGCAAATGGTCAAGGCCAGTGTCTTTTCTCATTGCTGAGACAAAATATTTGATGCCAAAAGTTAAAGGAGGAAATGTTTATTTATCTCACAGTTGTTGAGGTTTCAATTCACAGTTGTCTGGCTCCAAGGCAGGATGGCACAGCAGAGGGACATCGCAGAGGAGAAACAGTTCATGGCAGGCAGAAGGCAGCAAAGTAGTGAAGCAGAAAGCAGCAAGTGAATAGCTTTTTGTATTCTTGGGCCTCCTTAGCATGAAGATAGGACTCATACCCTTGGTGGGGCACCCTTAATCCTATCCAGAACTATGCCAAACAAATCAGAGGACCAACTTAGTGACCACACACTACTGATTCCAGCATCACACATTTATTTTGAGCTCCACACACTCTAGACCCAGCAATCTCTGAAAAGCCGCACCTATGACTGCATGAGGCTTCAGGGGACATGTAGACACAAGACATAATAGCCAGGATTCACTGGGGTCAAAAGAAGTACTCCAAGTCATCCAACTCTTGGCCAAAAATGCTTCTCACCTAGGGCTGCCTCCCCTCAGAATCCCAGGACATGCAGGTGGGGCAGATGCCTCCTGTTCTTTCCTGGAGGGAATGTTCCCCTGACCTGGAGACATGGGCTGAACTCTGGTCCTCCCCTTCCTAGCATGCATCTCAGCACATTGTGAGCCTTTTGGGGCTTCATCCAACCTGCAGATCGTTCCTGAGTTTTGTCTGAACTCAAATGAGGTTATGGGTACGAATTCATTTTATGATGTGCCATGTGAATGACAGAGACTGCTGACTAATTCCACCTGCTTTTTCTTGACAGGGGGTGCACTTGCACAGATAAAGGCACAGAGACAGAGAAAGACAGTGGGGTGAGATTTTTTTCTCTCTGTATGATATTTTTATATGCATATGTTATTTTATTTAGATTTCTCTCTATGTATTTCTGCGTGTTTTCTTACTTTCTTATTTTTCTTACCTTCTGATTACTTTGGTGGGATGAATAATTTTATTTAAGGAATGTTGTATAAAATATAAAAGTATAATTGTCAAAGTGTTTTTCATGATTTTCAATTTTATTATAAATAAGAGCATGTTGTTCATGTTCTATGGATGTGATATCTACTCTAAAATCTGAGGCTGTCAAAACATTTTTAAATTCCTTCTTCCTCCGTTGCCTTATTAATAACTGGCTTTCTTCATTATATTATCAAAGGTTGTTAGGTGTACAAATCAATGGTTTTCACTGTGACATTTCTGTAAACACACAAATCTTGCTTTGATTTCACCCACGCTTCCCGCTGCCCTCTCCCATTCCCCCAGAGAGAGTTCACAAAGGTTTGATTTCACAAGTGTGTCCCTTGGGAATGAAAAATTGGGATATTTTCTGCTTGTCCAGGAACCTGAATCAACCAAAAACTGCTGTGGTCATTCTGTTCCCTTGCATCTGCTCCCATAACCTTCAGGAGGGCCCATGGATGTGTCCTTTCTTTCTCCACCCTCTTGGCCTTGGTATCAAGCTTGTGGACTCTGGCTAGAAGGTTGCATAGATCAAGTTGGTCTCCCACCTTCATTCTGGAGCTGTCCCAAATAAATATCTTCCATCACTCAGATTGGTACTGACACTCTGGGCCTACCCTCCATGGATGCACTTTTTCTGTGTCACTGATTCTGTTTGTCTGACTTTCTCTCCTTCTAGAGGAGCAAGGCCCTTAACTCCTCAGCACCGAGAACAGGGCCTGGTAAATAGTAGATGCTCTATGAATATCTGTTAGAAAAAATACCAGTCCACGGTTGAAGCCCCAGGAAGATTATCATAATACAGTTTGGTGTGGCCCAAGAATAGCCTTGAATTCACAAATCAGAGTCACTGAAGTGTTAGTGCATGTGGACACTTTATTGAAATCAAGTGGCTCTTTTAGAGAATGAGGTGACCACAGTGGGCAGTGTGGGTGGGACCTCAGAGGAAGGTCACTTGCTGTAGCTCTTGGGACCTGGCTCTGGGAGGTCCAGGAAGTCTTGTCCCAGCTCAGACCCAGCCAACAAATCCTTATCTTCAGTCCCTGCTGACTGCCCATCTAGGGCTCCACCTGAAACAGAGGGGCACCCCGGTTGGTCAAAGCCAGATCAGGGATTCTCTTCCCCAGTGGTTTTCCTTTGGACCAGAAAGGTCTCAGCCTCCAGTGTTCATTCCCCACTAATGCCCCACAGACTTCCACAATGGTGCCAGCAGAGCTAAGGTCCTGTCTGTCATTTCTACATCTCCTAGATGCTTCCCAAGGGCATGAAGCTCATCACTACCTTCTTGACACCTTTATTATGATTAAATTTCTCTCCTTACTACTTCAGCAACAGGAAGTGGTGGGAGCACACAGTTTTCCCTGGGCTTGAATGGCCTGTCCAGAATTTCTATTTAGCTCTTGAAGGGCTACAAGGATGAAACTCAGAATCCTGACCTCTCTTTTGTACTAGTATTCCTGGCTAGGAGCTCATCACCCAGTCTCCCACTTTCCTCTCCTTGGGCTCTCTCCTGCTTCCTTTGCTGACCTATATCAGAGCAGGAGGCTCTTGGCAAAAAGAGTACCAGATAGGAGTCATGAGCAGGGGCCGGGCCATCAGCATCCAGTAACCCAAGGAGGCACATGGCACAGCACGTGGCACAGACAGCCAGTCAGTAGGTGCTGAGAGCAACAGCTAGCACCTCACCCCTACCACCCCTGGGCTTCACTACCTGCTGGTGCCTTCAGGGCCTGGATGTACTTGGACCAGAAGGAGCAGTCAGCTTCTTTCAGGCTCTGCCGAATGGGAAGCAGGGTGCTGAACTCCTGGTAGCTCTCTCTGCCAGCCCCCGGGATGAAGTCAGGCCAGGGGGCTGCAAACTCAGGTGCCTTCCGTGAGAATTCATGTGGGTAGTTGGGATTTCTGGGGAGATGAGAGAAAGAAATGTCCCTAAGGAAAACTTGTCTCTCCTTTATCACATGGGATCCCTGCCTAGCTGCACTCAGTCTGAGGGCCATGTCACTCGTCTTAGAGCACTGGGTATGAATACACAGGTCTGACCTGAACTGGAACCTTCACTGGGCCCCAAAGCCACTGAGGCATAAGGTTCCCCGGGCCCACTCCTCTCGGGACATTACTGCAAGGGACAGATGTGAGCTTGTGATCTGGTAGCATCATGCGGGCCCTAGTGTTGGCCTTTGGTCTTTCTGGGTGCTCAGGAGGCCATGGTGCCCTTTGGCCCTGACATTCTCTGATCTGGACACCACTGAGTCTCTGGGACGCCCTGGTTTTCTCAAGGCCCAGGCAGCAGGATGGGCCCAGAGCTCAGAAACCCACCTGCCACCCTTGAGTCCCCTTCCCCACAAAAGGGATGTTGCATCCCCTCAGACATGGCCCAGCAGGCCCTGCCATGCCATTGCCACCCATCTCACCCAGGGCTCTCCTCCACCCAGAGTGCCCTCTCCTTTGCTCATCTCTCAAGGCCTGGCATAAATTTATTTCTCAGGGAAATATTTTCCAAAACCCAAATTAGAACAAATGCCTTTTTCAACTCCCACAGCAAACTACCAAAAGCTTCATTCTGCCTTGCTTTGACCTATGCTTGGCTTTCATTTTTAGGTGTCAGAACCTTGTGGCTTTGCAGGATCAGGACTTTTTTTAAACCTGTTTACTTTCTTGGGGGTGCCTAGCACAGTCTTGGGGAAGGAACACACATCCGGCAAGAAGTCAGAGGGAAACAAAAGCTAGGGGAAGAGGGAAGCGAGGGGTCTGGACAGTAAGGGAGGTGAGTGCCATGGAGACAGGGAGGATGGGGAGCAGGAGGGAGCTTGTGGCTCACATCCTACAGAGGCAGTTCCTCCTCCTGGGGGAGACTGGCTCTCCTCCCAGGGTTGTGCCCCCAGGGGTAATTATCAGTCCCCGGGACAGCTCTGGTTGTCACAGCTGGGATGGGTGGGCACCACTGGCTTCCGCTGGGCAGGGCTAGAGGTGCCATGTAACCTCCTACAACACAGGGCATGCCCAGGCAATAACCCGGAAGGAGAGCTATGAAATGTGTCTGGACCACAGCAGGGTGTGACTGGAAACTCTCACCGTGAAGACTAATCTATACGAAGGTGGCAGTCTAAAGAGGGAGATAAGACAGCAGAGCCATGGCCAGCACTCCCAGCATCTAGGGAGGAAGGCTTAGTCCCCTGAGCAGACTGTGGCCTTTCCTTTCAGATGGAGGTACCTATGACAGGGTTCGGGACAAGTGGTCAGCTCACCCAGATCTGATGAAGTTGGACAAGAACTGCATGATTTTCAGTGACAGGCTTTTCTCTTCCAGGGAAAACTGCCCCTCATAGGCAGGGTAGAAAGGAAGCCCGAAGGCATACTGAACATCCGCCAGCAGGTCCAGGCTGGAAGGACAGAGGGGAAGAAGAGGCAAAAGTTAAGGGAGTAACATGCCATTGAAGCAAACCACATTGTTCCTCAAACCAAACTTGCCTACTGTTCATCTCTTTTAAGATTCCTGTGAAGTGCTCGGCATAGCCTGCCGGCCTGTGGATCAGAGTTGATACTTCCAGGAAGCACTTCCTGGACCACAGCCTGAAACTCAGAACAATGCAAAGTCATGCTAGAGACACAGAAAGCCAGTACTCAAACCCGAGTGCCCCAGGACCCATACTGAGTGCAGTTCCCCCCAGGCAGAGCATCAGAGAACGTGGAAACATCAGAAGGACATATTTAGACCCACAAAACGGAAAGCGAAGTAAGACAAAAGTGCCAGATAGTAGAAGCTGTGGTCACAGGGCGAATAGAACTCACATAGACAATCACTGGGTACTTTACAAGGTGCAGACATTTCTCAGACCAAGAAGTAAAAGCAGCAAATAATCACATGAAAAAATGTTCAACATCACTGGTCATCTGAGTGATGCAGATGTAAACAACACTGAGATTCCACCTCATCCCACAAAGAATGGCTGCTATCAAGAAATCAATGAGTAACAAATGCTGGTGGGGTTGTGGGGAGATAGGAACCCTTCTCCACTATTGGTGGGAGTACAGACTGGTGCAACCACTGCAGAAATCAATATGGAGATACCTCAAACAACTAAGATTAGAAGTCCTATTTGACCCAGCCATTCCTCTGCTGGGTATCTTCCCAAATGAATTAAAAGAATCATACCACAGTGATATATGCTCACCCATGTTTATAGCAGCATGATTTGTAATAGCTAAAAGTTGGAAACAGCCCTACTGCTCATCAAGTGGAAAGTGGATAAAGAAGATGTGTTTTTTTAAAAATGTAAAATGGAGTAGTACTACTCAGCCATAAAGAATGAGAAACTAGAGAGATTTATAGCTAAGTGGATGCACCGTGAGGCCATACTCTTAAGTGAAATAAATAAGTCACACATGTATAAATACCAAATAGTTTCTCTGGTATGAAAAAATAAAAGTGTAAATAAGGGTCAAAATGTATAATTGATATTTTATAATTGGAAGAAAAGTCTAAAAGAGTAGAGGAAGTAGGAGGGGTAGGGGAAAAGTAAAAAGGGAAAAGAAAAAATATGTGAAAAGGAAAACGTGTAAACAATGTCTTGGTAAACAGGGAAGGGTGGAGGGGCTGAGGGGAGGGCTAGGGAATGGGGAAAAGTAAGAACCTGATAAGTCATATAAAGGTACAAGATCCCAATAATGAATGTAACTGTGTTGTATGCCTAAAATGTACCAATACATTTAATAATGATAAAAAAAGAGAAGGAAAATGGGCCCCTGGGTCCTGGGAAGTTTTCAGCCTGCACTGGGTTTTGTGTGAATGATACACTTCTGTTAAACTGCTGATATTAAAAAAAAAACAAAAAAACAAAAAACAAGGAACTGTCACCCTTGCTAGGGCACTGGCCCATGTGACAGGGACCATTACTCCTTTCAGCAGTGCAGGCAATGGGATCAAAATAGTCATTTTCTTGCAGAGGCCCCAGAACCATTCCATGGATGGCACTAGCCACAGAGGAGCCAGGAAGCCCTTGGTTTGCTGGGACCACATTCTGCTCCTTCCCCACCACCTGCCTGCCTTTCTCCCCAGTGGCACCCATGCCACCCCTCACCTCGGGAGGCAGGGGGAACAGCCTGCTCCCTGAGAGGCCTTTCTGGGACAGTGGCTGAACCATTTGCTGTTGCTGAATTAGGAAGTGGTCACAGCTCAGGGACTTCAAACAGCATTTGTGCCATCTCACAGTGCCTGGTGTAGATGTCCAGGAGGGACCTCACTGGGCTGTGGTAACAGAGCTAGCAGGCTGTGTTCCTTCCACAACTCTTGACCTGTTTATTGCAGTGTGTGCTCGAGGCAGAGGATACAATCCTTTCTTTCTTGCTGCTAAAATTGGAGGCTGTTCCCAGCACCCAGAGGCCAGCGGGGTCCCAAGTTTTCAGGGCGTGGGTCTGTATCTCACACCCCTGTGACACCCTCTTCTGCTTCCTGCCTCTACTTTTAAAGCCTCAGGGATTAGACTGCACCTATCAGGATCGCCTGTCTCATCTGCCACACAAGGTAAGACATCCGAGAGTATCAAAGTTTAGGTAGGACTGGAACACTCCGAGAAACCACACTTTGCCTCATCTACTGCATCCTCCAAAGAGAGCAGTGTGGCCAAGGATCCTTGAGACCACAGTCCTCATTCGGAGCCCAGCTCAGCCAGGTCATGACAAAAGGCACAAGCTTCCCAGGCCTCCATGTCCTCGTCTGTGAGATGGTGATGCAGTCCAGTCACCCTAGTCCTTGATAAGGGTTAGCAAAGGAACGTTCAGACCCCTGGCCCCATTCCTGACTGTTGTGCCCACTCCCTCTCCTTTCCCAGGGGACATCTGCAAGGTTAAGAGTGAGGATTGTTAGTCCAGGGCCATTGCGGGCTTTGTGTCTCCTGAAATCACATGGGAGATGCTGCAAAACTGTGTCTATGTGATCTGTATTGCTTGGCAGTCCCGGGGAGTAAATCTGGGCCTTTGCACTGGGATGCGTCCCCAGCCCTTTCTAGTCTTAGTGTGGAGACAGGGTCTTGCTGAGTTACAAAGTTTCCCTGCCTTGACTTGAAACTTGTGATCCGCCTGTCTCAGCCTCCAGAGCTGGGCTCACAGGCATGCCCCATCATGCCCGGCTTATGCTCATCTTCCTTGGGAGCTGCTTCACACACATTACCAGGTTCTCAGAAGGGCCGGCTCTGGGGTGGGGCAGTCTTCCTGGCATTTGCTAATTCCCACATTGTAAAGACTTGCTGATGCCACTGAGCAGGGGGAGAGGAAGAGGTGCTCACAGGGGACTTTGGGAACTGAAGCAAATCAGTTCATCCCACTGTAGCCTCTGCCTCTGAAAGGCCAGAGGAGACTGTTCTTGGGGGAAGGTCTGGCATTCCTGCCTATCCTGCGTGTTTGATGGAGAGCTTGACAGGTCGAGAACTTCTGCCCATTTTCCCTAGCAAGGGAGACCTCTATCGGGATGCTGGAGTTATTTTGAGCAGTTTAAGGCTGGCATCTGGAGGATGGATTTGGAGTGGGAGCCTGGGAGGGGAGGATGCTGGCTCAGAGGGCCACTCCTCAGTGGGTCTGGGCCCCGGGATGAGAGCCCCAGACCCTCTGGAGGAAGAAGCGGGGGTCTGTAATGAGCATGAGCACGGGGACACCCGGGGCCACATCAGACCTGACCAGGTAAAGGGACAAACTCTGAACCGGGCCATGGTGCTCAGAGACAGGCTAGCGCACACTGGCTTGGCTTCTTTGCCCAAACTTGTGGCTGCTTGGTAGGTAAGAGGTCAGGCTGGTCACAGCTGGCTTCCAGCTGTTGTTTGCTGTCTTTATCTACTCTGAGAGCTGCCTCTGGTGTGCTCAGACCTCATCTGGATCTTTGCATCAGCACAAGAGACCCAGGCTGAGCCTCAGAGAGCTCCCTACTTACCCACTACGGGCTTCTGAACCTGGTGTTTCTATCAGTAAAATGGGTCTGACTATCCCTGTGCAGCCCCCACACAGTTCCACCAGGTGCTCACTGATACACGGTAGAAGGAAATCCCTCTCAAAATTAGAAATGGCCAAGGCCACTCCCTCAGTGGTGCCCATGCCTGGCAAGCACAAAGTCCTGAGTTTGAACCCCAGTGCCAAAAAAAAGAAAAAAAAAGAAAGAAATGGCCATCTGGGGAAGAGGTGACATCAGCAATGCCACTAAAGTGGCATTTAGTCAGACGGTAACAGGAAGTGACGAGCTCCCTGGCTCCAGCACAATTTTGTGTGTGTGTGTTTGTGTGTGTGTGTGTAGTTGCTTTTTGTTTCAGGTTCATAGCCTGAGTGTAATTCACTGAGGACAATAGCAAGTGTGACAGGGATCAGGGGATGTCAGGTCTGAGGCCCTATGCAGCTGACATGGGCCACACATCCGCTATGTCCAGCATGGACAGGTGTGGAGAAGGAAAAGGTGAGGAAGTTAGCCTTTCTGTGAAGGAGCCTGTGGTCCAGCAGGAAATGCAGAGGAGCCAGTGATTTTCAAACACAAATGCTGTCATGGGGCACATGTGGCTAGATGGGTGTGCAGTCAGTAAGCAGACGCAGTGGGAAGGGCACCTGGACTGCATCTGAGCACTTGAGGACCCAAAGGGGGCTGCACTTGGCATGGAAAATGCCGCAAGCAGGGAACGTGGCTGAGCGTAAGGCAGTGAGTGTGCCGAGCACCGGGGGCATCAGCCAGGTGGGTGCTGCTGGCGGGTGTATGGTGTTGAGAAGTGAAGCTGGAGTTTTTCCCAAGCCAGAAAACCCAGGGTGGAAAACACTAAGTGACATGCTTGCTGAGGTTCTTCTGCCTCTGGTTCTGGGCACACTGTGAAGACTGAGGCCAGGAAGACGGAAGCTCGAGTCTCTCAGGGGCTGAGGATGCTGGTGGCCTCTCGGTCAGTGACTTGCCAGCCACGTCTCTCTCGATGACTGTTAGGGTTATGTGGGACAGAAGATCTAGTGCAGTCCAGACAGAGCTTTGGTTCTTTCCACATAGCTCCTGACTCAGGCCTCCAGCCTTCTCCTTATCTTACATCCCGCTCTGGCTATAAAGCAGCCCAGGCCTGCATCCCAGGCAGCCAGAGGCCAAGGGCCAGATGGCAAAGATTCTCAGCTCCACACCTCCCTGCCTAGAGCTCCAACTTACAGAGGCAGGAGCTATAACCCAGGATGGCTGAGCTGGTTTCTGCAAAAGGAGCTGAGGGCAGTGGCCTTACTGGAAGGTGGGGTGAGCCCAGTGTACAGAGGACAGAAGGCACTGTCCCACTGACTTGGGGACAGGGGCATGTTCAAGGAGGGGCTGCTGCACCATGGTCAGCCCATGGAGATGTCTGTTCCCATCCTCCTGTTCGCAGAAAGAAATCTGTTGACCTTA